ACTTTCTCATTTTTTTAATACTTTTTTGTTTTTTTTTATTTTATCTTTAATTTTTATCATATTTTTGTTATATTTTTTGTTAAAGTATTATTACTTTTAATTTTAAATATTTATCGAAACCGCAGTTATTAATACTTTTAACATTACTATTATTATTCCTATTTTACTATTTTTAATTTAAATAACTGCATTATGTCCTTGTTAGTTGTTACGTTTTTTCAGTCAACTGTTTGTAAAAAACTCATATGTATATTTAGCTATTGTGTTTATGAAAACAAGTGACTTTGATTATTATTGTTATTATAATTACTATTATAATTGTTATTGTTGTTTGTTTTTTTATTGTTATTGTGGATCTTATGTTTATTACTATAAATATTATTTTAATTATTATCATAACTATTCTTATAACCATTCCTAATTATATATATAAAGATCTGTATTTTGGTGTTTACTTAAGATTAGTAGAATTACTATTTGTAAATATCCATGAAATTATTTTTTCAGAATATATATGATTGATGATTGATTAATTGATTAATCACATTCCACGTTTTTTATTTTGCATTTTTTTTTTGTTTCTTTTTATGATTTTTTTTTTAACTCATTTGTATATGATTTATGTTTTAAATCATTTGTATATGTTTTTTATTTTAACTCATTTTTATATGTTTGATGTTTTATATACTTGTCATAAAGTTTTTGTTTTTTTCTTTGATGATTTGTACAAACCTTTGGTCATCCAAGGGTTTAAAAGTGAATTAGAATTTACAACTATTTTTTTACTGGAAATGCCAAATCATATTGTTTACAAAACTGTGCCAAAATAGTTCATACGCATTATTCGCATCTTGAGATTGTAATAAAAGATTCTAATCAGTTTTTTTAGATAAAAGTTTTTGAAAGCATAATATATAGTTTTCATCGATTATTATTAAGATTGATCGTATTAAGATTGTTGATTAAGAGACAGGGCGGTTAAGGGTTATATTTTTTGTAATTAAAAATATTGGGTAATGATCAGTTATGTCGGTTTTGATTATACCCGATTTTAAAAAGCAATTATGAAAGTTATTAATTAATATATTATCTAGCAACGTCAACGAGGTCTAAGTTATTCTTGTTGACTTTATTGGGGGAGTTATATTGTGCTGAATAAGCGTATCCAAAAACCATTGAACATTTAAATTTGAAGCATGATTTAACAAGTTTAAGTACACGTGTTTCATTAAAATGTAAACTTTGCTCAAAAAATTTTTTAAATGGGTTTTAAATAATTTCAAACTACCAGCTGGTTTTCTATAAATAAAATTGATTAAAATATTTGTTTGCTTTATTATTTATTTCAATGCATAACGACTCACTTTATTATTTATTTCAATGCATAACGACTCGCTTTATTAGTTATTTCAATGCATAAGGACTCGCTTTATTATTTATTTCAATGCATAACGACTCGCAATCAATTTCCTTGAGATCATTACGCAAAACAAAGTTTACAGATTTGTGAACAAAGTACTTAAACCACCACTAAGAAACAACGACCAAGGTTGGTTTTACAAGAGTTGTTAACAAGTCCAAAAGTAGCAAGGCCAAGGCCAAGACCACGCATTACCAGATCAAGGGCAAGACCAAGGTCAAAAGTTACAAGGCCAAGGAAAACGCCGAAGCCACGAGTTTTAAGGTCAAGGCCAAGATTAAGAGTTTCAAAGCCAAGGCCTACGCGAACATTTTTAAGACCAAAGACTTTAATTTTTGCCTTACGTTAAAGTTAATTATTAACAAAACTGTAAGTAGCAAGTGCTGTGATAATAAAACTACAGTTTGTAAAAATAGACCAAGGTTATGCGCAGAATTCAACAAAATTTATTAGAAAATATATACTTTTTATAAGGCCAAGGCCAAAAAAATCAAGGCCAAGGCCTAAATTTTTAAGTATTAAAACAAGGCCAAGGCCAGACCAAGGCTAAAGCCTTAATTTTTGGCTTTAATGCAAGGCCAAAAACTAACAACTCTGGGTTTTATGCGGTTAGTGAATTGACCCGTAATTACTTAGTTCATAATTAGAATTTATTTTATTGTTTTTCAACCGTAAACCGTAAATCCGTAAGACTAATTATTTTAAATTATCATGATTTAGATCATGCAATAATAATTTTAGACTATCAAAATTTTTCGAATGTTTGGATTTAAAGTTAAATACTATTGTTATTTTTTATTTGACTAAGAAATTGAGTAGATTCACAGATGGAACAATATTCACTTGCAAATTTTTTTGTATTGAAATAGTCGTCATCACTCTCAGTATTAAAACTAAGAAGAAGATTATCATCCATTTTTTAAAAAGTAAAATATAATGATCATGAAAATAAAGATAATAAAATATTAGGATTTTACACTTTTATTTTTCATTGCAGCCCAATCGCGCATGATGAGTTTATCATATGAAATGTTTGCAAATTTTCCTGCCGCTCGTTCCAATTTCATCTGTTCTCTTAGCATCTTCCAAATTTTCACTGTCTCAGCGCAAAAACTCTCATTAATTTAGATATTCTTACCTTTTAGGTTAGAGGTCTTTTTTAAAATATCTACTTTATCTTTAAAGATGTTTTATAATTATAGTCTAACTGAATCTTTATGACCAATTCTATGTACCCTTTTAATTTTAACATCTTTTAGACCTAAATAATTTTTAATTTTTTTTTACCTTTAGTTTGCTGTCATCTCTATATTCACCTTTGCTTTCTTTAATTCCATCGATTCTCAAATTATTCAGCCGAGATCGATCCCCTATTTCTCTTAATTTGTTGGTTATTTTAGTAGGTGCAGATTCATTGTTTTGGGTAACGCTTTTTGTATAACATTTATCCTGTGAAATATTGACGCTCTTAATTTTTTCTTCAATAAGTTGTTCATGAAAGTTTAAACTCACTTTAATGTCCTCAACTTTTTTTTCTATTGATTGTTTTATCTATTTTCACATATATATGATTCAACTTTATCTAAACGTATAAAATTTTTGTGCTAGAACTTATAATGCTTAAAATATTTTTTTCTTTCTGTTTAATCATGTCTTCAGTTTTTTTCATAATCATGTCTTCAGTTTCCTTCATAATCATGTCTTCAGTTTCCTTCATAAACTTCTTAAACATTTTTTTTTAACATTTTTTCCAGTGTTTTTTTTATTTTTTAACATTGTTCAATCGTAACTGCCATATTTACTTAATATTATATAAATATTTTTAAATTTTATAATTTTTTAAAGTATTTAAAACTTTAAAATTTATAAAAATGAAATTCAAAACTTAGCTTTTTTGTTTATTTTTGTTCTTTTCCACGCTGTTAAAACACTGTTCACGTTGAAGACCACAATGCAACCATTTTAACTTAAATCAGGTCATTCCGTTTTTAGCTCAGAATCTTTGATCAAAAGCTCCTTTAAATTGTTGAAATCGAAAATAAGTTAAACAATCTTATTTCCTTTATTGTCATATATTTAGTATTATATATATACATATATATATATATATATATATATATATATATATATATATATATATATATATATATATATATATATATATATATATATATATATATATATATATATATATATATATATATATATATATATATATATATATATATATATATATATATATATATATATATATATATATATATATATATATATATATATATATATATATATATATATATATATATATATATATATATATATAAATATATATATATAATTTATTGCCACTATTTATCATATACTTTTTTTAGCGTATATATTGATACTTTATTAATGAAACTATAATTTTCAAACTGTTGCCGATAAGCAGTAAAATTAGATACAAATTGCGTAAAAATATGAAACATCCCATATATACAAAAAGGAATCAGGATTTCAGTTTGGAGATTGGGGTTAGTTTACTTTTTACATCAAGTTTGTTTTAAATTTTACGTCACATTAGTTTTATTTTTTTATTTTTTCATTTTTTGAAGTGGGTGGTACAAAAAAGCGTATTTTCTTTTTAACTATTTTTACAAAAAAAAAAAAAAAAAATTAAAATAAAATGCAAATATGAATCAGTATATAGTTAAAAAAAAGTATTCATAAAACAAAAAAGTAACTGTGACGACAAGTTATTTAAATTTAATGCGCTATTGGTATGAAAACGTGCAACGTCAGTTTTAAGTTATAAAAAACATAAATATTTTACAATGTTTTATTAAAGGTGCAGATGGTTTTAACGTTCAAACTCAAGATTGTATAACGAAGAGAATTTAATATTTAAACTCTATAGAGTTAAAAGGAATCGAAATTTTATTCATTTGATGCGACACCCTTCACCTTATAACATTTTATCTTTAAAAAAATAACACACTCCACCATATAACGTTTGTCTTAAAAATAAATAACCGCAAGTAGCAAAATGAATTGGAAGAACTTTTTCGTTAAAAAAAATTTGACGTTTTAATTTATTATCAAAGAATGATTTTTTGTAGTCATAAATATAATAGTTATAGAAAAAAAAAAAATTAATTGTTATGGAAAATAGCCATATTGAATCCTCAATGAAGCACATTTTTCTTTTTTTGCTTTAAAAAATGTTTTTTATTTGGTTTATAGCTTTTTATTGTTTATATCGGGTATAATTTTACTATACACATATATACAGACACACATAAATAAATATATATAAATATGCACATGTATATGTATATATATATATATATATATATATATATATATATATATATATATATATATATATATATATATATATATATATATATATATATATATATATATATATATGTATATGCATATATATATATATATATATATATATATATATATATATATATATATATGTATATATATATATATATATATATATATATATATATATATATATATATATATATATATATATATATATATATATATATATATATATATATATATATATATATATATATAAATATACACATATAGATAAAATAAAAGGAAAGAAATGGAAAGCCCAACCAAAGAGATTTATGATATTTCTGTGATTAAAACTTTGCCGCATGCATCCTCGCCAGTTTTACCAGTACCTCTCGCAGATAATGATAAATATATAGTTAATAATGAAATTTACAAATTTCAAAACTGTAAACATCCACAAGGATCTTCTATAAACAGGAAGTTAAGCAAGGTTCAGTCGTTAGATACGTTTTCTTTCCAAAAAAACGAAAAGTCTGATGTTCAAAAAATTTGTGTCATAGAAATTGAAAGTAGTAATGATTTTATTGAAACAGAACGTAAAAATTGTCTTATTGAAACAAAAAATACAAGTTATGACATTGATTCTGAATGCACTAATATAGATAAAGTGCTACAAAATGAACCAGATGCAGATGTTGTAAAAAATAAAAATGACTTTCATGAAAACCAATCACTAATCCAAGAGAATGGAACTAGTGAAAAAACAAGTTTGTTCAGGGAAATTGGGAAAATAAATTCTTTTGACGCTGTGTCACTTAGTGAACCATGCTGTAGAATATGTCAATGCGACACAACAGAAGATAAACTTATAAGCCCGTGCAACTGCTGCGGGTCTGTAAAATGGGTTCATCAAAGTTGTCTTGTTCAATGGATGAAAAGTTCTTTTAAAGATTCATGTGAATTGTGCATGAAAAACATTAAAATCATAAAACGAAGGAAATCATTTTCTAAGGTACTTTTGATAATAAGGCAAACTTTTTTTAAATACAGCAAATACTTAATTTTAGTTTATAAATAATTAGGTAAGTAATGACCTTTAATTAGTTAGTTACCTATACGTGCTTGATGTATTCGGTCGGGGTCGGTTAGCTTAGTTTTAAACGTCCGAGTAGTTTATACAAAATGAATAAAAAATTTTATTTTACAAGTTTTTTTTGCAAGAAACAAAGATTTATCAATTAGGTTCATTGATAAATGCAATGTCATTATATAACATTACCAGGTGTAATATTTATGTTTGTCTTTTGTAAGTTTTTTAATACTTAATTTTTTATTTACTTGTTATTAATGTTAAATTTTTATTTACTTGTCGTTTTAATTGTAAACTTTTCATATCTAATTAAAAACTTTTTTGAAAAAACTTTATTTTATTTTAAATAAAACAAAATTAAATAAAATTTAATTTTATTATTTAATTTAATTTTATTATTTAAAACTAAAATAAAAGTAAAATTTTAGTCAAGAATAGAGTTTAATTTATATTAGTTTTACAAATTTCAATTTTAAACTTCAAAAAATATATGAATGATGGTATAAATCTTAATTTTATAACATACAACCTTTATAAATAATTTTTATAATTTTTAAAACATAATTCAAAAATTTAACATTATTATTTTGGGCATATCATTTAATAGTTTAATTTTTAAAATTTTTAAAAACTATCAACAAAATGTATTTCTTTATTTTTATTTCATTGTAGTGGCAGCTACCAACGCAACGCCCAACGCCAGTGTTATGGGTGTTAGTTTTCATAAGTGCTATTGCCTTAAACCTTGCTTCTGTTGTTAAAGACGCGTCTCGTAGATGTTCTTCGACTCCTTGTTTAGTTTTTTATGCAGTTGGTTGTATTGGCGTAATTTTGGGAACTCTTTTTGTTGTATACTGGAGTAAACGTGCGCGTACTTTTGTCAACCGATGGATGGAACAAAACGAAGAATGGGTGGTACTTATTGAGGATGAACGAGATAACAAACGTGAAGCCACAAAAAGCTCTAACATAAACGAATACATAAAAAGTTAAAAATCTCTGTTTATTTCAACCCTACATAGTTTAAATTTTTTAAACAACTTACACGTTCTTATTTCACCATTTAAATCTTTTATATAGTTAAAGTTTTTTTCAATTTTTCTAAACTTTTCATTAAATCTTCATTCATTTGCTCATTCATACATCTGTCCATTCATCAATCCAGTTTTTATATTTCTTCATAGTTTAATTTCATTCTATTTTTGCTTAAACCAACAAATTTTAAAATCGATTTAACTCAGTATATTTATTTTGTTAGAATTTTTTTTTTCCATTATCATTCTTTTGAATTTATTTTATTAATATGTGTGAAATATTTAATATATATATATATATATATATATATATATATATATATATATATATATATATATATATATATATATATATATATATATATATATATATATATATTTCAATAGCAATACATAATTTTATAGAATGGTGTGTCCAGGGAAGTTATTACCCGACTTAACAGTTTTATAATTTTTTAGTTTCTTAAAACACGCATAATTAAAGTAAACATGTAAATAAACATATTATAATATATTATATATATAAACGTAATATAAATATATATATATAGACATAAAATAATTAGTTGGAATAAATCAAATTACTAGAATCTTAAGATAAAATAAATTAAAAAACGAAAAAGAATTTGTTTATCATTAAAAAGACAAATATAAATTGTTGTTTTACTTACTGTTTACTTTATTTTTAAAATTTTTTTAATTTACTGTAGCAGCTCTCCTGTTTAGTTTATTTTAAAGAATCAAGGAAAGAGTAACTTCTCTTTTAACTTTTCTGGGCACACCACCGACGTCCTACCAGACAACTGCTATGAACATAACTAATATCTGAAGCCTATGACAAGTCATGCATGACAGTTTTTAAACAAATTTATATAGTTGACTTAATTAACTTTTTTTCGTCAAATTAGAACAAGTTTATATAGTGAATACTAAAGAGTGGCCCGCAAGCTCTAACCAAAAACATTATTTGATATAGTTTAAACATTTACAGATATTTTAGCTGTATTTAACCATAGTCAAAAATAAACAAAATAATTTGTAAACTTGTATCTATATTAAACTTTATATAGATATAATCAGTTATGTTTTAAATTCTTTTTCAATTCAATTTTTACTCAATATAAAACGTAATAAAAATAAAAACTAAAAAAAAAAACTAAATGAATTTAAAAAAAAAAAATGAAGTTTTGATGATTCTTTTGCGTAATTAAAATCTTTGACATTTTTAAAAATGGTTTTTTAATAAGGTACCTTTTTTTATTGCTTATTACTTTTCTAAATCTTTATTTTGCTGACTAAATCTTTATTTTGTTTCTGTTACACAAAGAATTGTTTGTTTTTTTTAATCTTATTTCTTTCATTCGTTTCTATTTCATTTTTTTCTATTGTCCATTTTAATTTTTAAACTTTAAATTTAAAATAGTTTGAAATTTGAATATCGTAATCCTAAATACTTTTAAATTGACATTTATGAAATAATTTGCCGACCGGCAAAAATGAAATCAAACAAATGAATAAAATGCAGTTTACCTGAAAACTGAAACAATTTTAAAACTACGAGTTATTCTAAAACATTTGATTCAAATAAATAACTTTACTATAAATTTACAGTTTTCTAGATTTAGAACCAACATCAAGACTAACAACAAGGCCTAGACAACAATTTATGACCAAGATCAGCAGAAAATCTTTTTACTTTTTTAATGTAATTAGGTATTAAGATGATCAGGTACTGAAGAGCAAAATACCGCCCCCCCCCCTTTAAAAAAAAAATTTTTTTTTGCTTACCTGCCCAAAACGAAAGTGCAACAAGTTGATTAAACATTTATTTTCCTGTTCTCAACTAAGTTTATATTCATCGATAAACTTTAAAATTTATAAAATAATCTCTTAGCGTTCAAAAATTATGATCATAGAAAGTTTGAACGCCCCTCAATTTGACAAGTTTTATGTGGTCATAGATTTTAACGCGAAGAGATTACCGCAAATATAAAATATCTGCCAAATATTAAACCTCTTCCACTATAGTTAAAAATTTTTTATATTTAGGGGCTTTCCATAAACGACGTCACGCATCTAGAGGATGGAGGGAGTCCAGACATTGTGACAAGGTGAGGGAGGGAATAAAGAAGTGTGACGTCACAAAATGTATATATATATATATACATATATATATCTATATATCTATATATATATATATATATATATATATATATATATATATATATATATATATATATATATATATATATATATATATATATATATATATATATATATATATATATATATATATATATATATATATATATATATATATATATATATATATATATATATATATATATATATATATATATATATATATATATATATATATATATATATATATATATATATATATATATATATATATAATTTACTTTTAAAACGAAATTCCAAACATATACGAAATGATATAATGAGATCTTTTATTAGACTTAATGCACTCGCGCGTTAATGTCACAAAAATTTACATATAAAAAAGTTCACATTTTACCATAAAACAATAGAGTAAAATGCGGTCAAATGGAATAGTTAAGGATTTTATTTATTAATTTTTTAGGGAAATAAGATTTTTCTTTTTTTTTTTTTTAAAGTTGTAAGGAATATTTAAATATATAAAATTAACAATTTTTTTGTAAAGTTTTTTATGAAACTTTATTTGATTAAAAAAAACTTTATTCATTCTACACCAACAATCCGGGAGAATGAAATAGGGAAAAGCGGGGTTGGCGAACATTTTGAAAGCCCTGAGTTATTGCTTGAAGCAATAATACTTTCTCAGTACGTTTATGTCATTAAAATCCTTCAATGCCTGCATGAATTTTCAGTTTGCAAATATAACAATTTGATATAAATATTAAAATAAAAAGGTCATAAATTTGTCACCTTGTCACGTGACCGGGGCAAGATGACTTTTAAAAACTAATAATAACTCTAACTAAATTAACAAAAAATAAACACAAATTGCAAAAAACTACTTCTAAAGAAGTTAAATTTAAAAGACACCATCCATTATGGGAAACCAAAAATAAGGAGTTTTTTTTTAAGCGCAAAAAATGTTCCATTCGCCATGTTGCCGCGCTTTCCCCTACGCAAATACAAGTGTAATTAAAACACCACTTTATTAAAAAAAAAACAACCAACCAATAATAACAATTAAAAAAAACAATCAATAATAACAATTAAAAAAATCAATCAAATAAAATAAACTTTTTTATTCTTGTGATGATGTTGAGCCGTTTAGCGGTGCAAGAGGTTGAGTTGAGTGTTACGTATCGCTTTGGTATGCATGTTTGACATAGCCAAACCTTGCAATTTGAATTTTCACATTGGTACCATTCCATATTTTGACTTGCTGAAGTTTCACTCCAAACTTTTTGGCACTTTTTACACTTGAATTGGTTTGCAGCTAATATTTTCGTTGAACTTGTTGCTTGGTTTATTTGCTGTTCTCTATTAGAGCTAAGCTTAGGTTTTTTTTAGCTTGCTTTGCTGCTTTTCTGCTCTCACATCTTTCAACCTTTCAAGTATTTTAGATTTGTTGAGACACTCACCTTCGAATCTTGACATATCAACATTTTTTCTTTTTTGTGTGTCAACGTGATGGATACGAAACATTTGTTGCAAATCTGATCCAAGTAATTGGGCTGATTGCAGTTGTTTTTCAACCTCTTTTTAAATTTCATTTTGAATAGCCAGAGTTACTACAATATTGAAGGTAGTTTGCAGACAATGTGACTTTTGAGATAACTTTGGAGCTGATGCTATGTGACATATGCTGATGCTAGATGTTGTTGGTATAGATTCAGAGGGCAGTGGTTAAGGTAGTGTAGTTCCTGGTGCTAGATTTTGTTATGGCACTACCATAGATTCTGGTAGTTGAGATGATAAAGGCTCAGGTTCGGATCTCGGTGTTTCAAATGTATTAGAAATTTGCAACTTTGACTGATCGATTTTATCAATGTTGAGTGGAAACAAGCCAGTATTCTGAAACCCAATGACTATCTTGGTACGTGTAAAAACTTCACCAGAGCTGAAAAGTTTTTTTTGCAGGTGACTGAAACGTTCTTTTGATAAGTTGCTAAACTTTGTTTCTGTTGAAGTAATTTGCGCCAAACTCTTTTGACATGGCAATAAACAACAACATCTAGTGGCTGTAGAATGTGCGATGAGTGAGCTGGTAAGCAAATTAACAAGAGAGTAACTAGCGAATTTCATTCATTTATTAGAACCATTATATAAAAGCAGTAAGTAAAAGTCATTTAAATTAAGTTAGAAAAATTCGTTCATTGAAATTTAATCAAAAAATTTATAGCTGGAGATTTATTGGTCACTTGATACCTAATAAAAAAAGCCGATTTTAAGAAATAAGTTATCGCTTCGTATTTATTTATTAGCGTATTTCATTCAACCCCGGAACACTCAGTTTCCGTTTGTAACTCATAACTTTTTTTTTGAAAAAAAATTTAATTTTGAAAAATGATTCTTGATCAGCGTAAAAAGTTCAGTAAACATTTTAAGTTTACTGATACAAATGATAAGAAATTGAAGCTAATCGAAGAGAACGCGTTTTTAAAAGAAATTAAAGCTAATCGATGAGAACGCGTTTTTAAAGGAAATTAAAGCTCATCGAAGAGAACGCGTTTTTAAAAGTTCTTTAAAAAAAAAAAAAAAGTGAAAAAAAAAAATATGGCAAAATACACTGTTGTACAAATTAGAGATATGGTATTTTTAAAATCAAAACTTGGGTTTACAAATGATGTAGAAATCGAAGGAGCCCATAGAACGGGAAGGAAAGCTTCTGATGGAAAAAAAAGTAGAACAATTGTAGCGAAGTTTTTTAATTACAAAGATAAAACGTTTTATCTTTGTAATTAAAAAACTTCGCTACAATTGTTCTACTTTTTTTTCCATCAGAAGCTTTCCTTCCCGT